GTTTTGCGTCTCGCGGAGCTTAGCATTATGTGTCAGGAGAGTCGAATTCTTGTCCTTCAAGTAGCAGATATTGCTCTCCAGGCTCTTTATTTACTTTCCCGAGCTGTCTCGAGCCTCTTTAGCCAGGGGCAGAAAATCGACCAAGCCCTATCGACATAAATGACAAAATATTTCAATCCATGTATTGGCGAAAGAAAGAAAGAAGGACCAATGTAAAGAGTGGAATGGATAATACCTAAGCGAACACTGCACGAGCTTATCGTCAACCTCGGGTAGCGTGACGATAGCTTTTTTGCGATCATCCTCGAGGACGGCACCCTCGAGGCGTTCGGCCACCTCATTCACAGAGGCGGACAGCAGGGAAGTCGACCTCGTGGCGAGAGGATCAGGAGGAAGATAGCCAACGCGCCCCCGCTTGGCAACGGCCTCGCCCTGCTCAGTTCGAGAGCTTTTGCCCAAGGCTGACTCGCGTCCCCCGTCATCGCGATTGCTGGATTCGACTAGAGCTTTGGTCGATACGACAGGAGTGGTTTTGGAGGATTGGTGGGCGAGGGGCAACTTTTTTTTGGTTTTGGTTTTGGATGAGGTGTTGGGCTCGGAGGCTTTATCGACAGTTTGGCCTCGAGAGTTATCTTTGGGATTGGAGGCTCGAGGACCTGTCTTCTGTGAGCGGTCATCTGATTTCTGATGGCGGTCAGTGGTTTTCAGGCGGTCATCGGATTTGTGTTGATGGTCGACAGTTTTCGAGGAGGTCGAGGACTTGGAGGTCGATTGGGAATCAGGTTTGTGCTGGGGGTTCTTCTCAGGAGGAAGCGAGGAAGATCGCTCCTGCGAGGTCTTGGAGGGCTGTTGTTGTTGTTGTTTCTTTGCAGTTGTTGTTGTTGTGGTTGTTTCTGTTGCTGCTATTGTTGTTGTTGTGGTTGTTTCTGTTGTTGCTGTGGCCCCGGCGGCGGGGGAGGGGATAAAGGGGTCTCTCGTGGAGGTGACCGCGGTTGCGACTCTGGTCGAGACTCCGAGAAAGTGGTCGATCCCTCGACCTGACCCCCGGTTGAACCAGAAGTACCTCATGTCTTCTTTTTCAGAGGCACTTTCCTCAGAGGAATGTTGAAGCTGGGAGCCTCTGCACGAGCAAATCAAACAGAATAGAACCAACATTAGCACTCACATCAACAAAAAGGCAAACATATGTAAACACTCAAGTGAACTGATCGAGAATCACCTGGATCATTGTCAATACGAACAAGATTGAGAATCTCCTCAGTAGGAGGAGAAAGAGTTTTATGGGTGAGCAGACCGCAAAAGTGGAGAAGATTTTCATCACCAAGGAGTTTTTCAGACTCAACAAACTTGGCATTCCAGGTGTGAATCCGCTGGTCGAAGAGATGGTTTGAAGAAGGGGCCAAGGCCGCCTCTCGTGAAACTTCCTTGATCCAAGGAATGGAAGGCCATGGGAAAGGGGCGTCAGGTCGAAC